AGTGTTCTGGAAAAACTATGTACAAAGTGGTGTTTCAATTAAAGTGATGTGTGATGAGCAGGACCGAAGAAAATAAGCAGGAAAAAAGCAAATTTAAGCGTTTAGATAAACATTAAAATATTGGTAAATATGCTCGAAAAACAACCAAAAATCTAAGTATAGTTTAATGTTTTGTTTTTTATTTAGTTTACTTCAAGGATTGGGCGGAATTCGAAATTCTCATATTTCCAGTAGTGTTACTGCATCGATTTAGTTGTCACTTTTTTACTATTATTAAAAATAATGCGGATTATATTACACTAAGATATGAATCCGTAATTTCTTTTCAAGACTGAATTTAATTGTTTTCAAACATATTTCTCCTAGTGTTACTGCATCGATTTAGTTGTCACTTTTTTACTATTATTAAAAATAATGCAGAATATATTACACTAAGATATGAATCCTTAATTTCTTTCCAAGACTGAATTTAATTGTTTTCAAACATTTGTTATCCTCCATTTGATTTAATTATTTTTAATCTCTTCAATAACACCAATGCCTTCCCGTAGAGACAAACCTTTGGTTTTAAATTTTTGTATCTAAGCAGAACAGGAATTGAAGTTACAAAAAAACCAAATCGGTTTTTATGTTATTACTAGCAGACCTTGCTGACTTCGTCCCGCCAAAAATTAGTTTTTATTTAATCATTTGGTCCAACGTTTTTACCAACAATTCACGTTCACGTTTGGTTTTGTGGTCGTCAAAAGGCATACCCTCCATAGCCGTCTTAAATAACCTAACAAAAGCGTTATGTCCGTGAAGACGTTCTTGTAGCAACAATTATCTGGTCCGATGGTGAATCGTCCTTGAATCGGTATAGTACAGTTTTTGGCAATTTCATAATGGGGGAGTATCATTAGTCCACAGAAATTCAATATACATAGACTTATTTTAGACGAAATACCTTAGAAGTCTTACAATTGTATCTGCAGGCATTTATCAAGAATAGTCTTTATCATGTTTAGTCGCCGTAAAGCAAAGACGGCAATCGTTCTGGTAATTGATTTAACGGTGGTAATTTCACTTTGATTCTTGGTGTCTCCGATTGACTTCACTTGACGATGTTTACTAATAACTCGACTCCAGCGCCACCTTACAGCACTTTTTGTGCTATAGTAGATATTGCCCCTACCGTGACCAATATATTTATGTATATCTCGAATATGAGCCAAATCGGATGATGAGACAAATCGGCCACGAGACAATCGGATAGTGAGAGAAATAGGTCACGCTTACCTTGCCTTGCCCCGTCCATCGCATTTAATGGATGACGGTGATGTCAGTCTTTATTTTCCCGAGGACATCAACCAACCGGTAA